ACTAATTCGGACAAAGTCATAACGTTGTCCAGTATAAATTTGCCTGGGATAAAACCAGTCTGATCCAAATAAAAATAGCCCCTTGTAACCTTACTCAATCTTTTAGCCAAAGTCCTCGCTACTATCTTTTGTGTGAGTGTCAGTAACGTAATGGGCCTGTAATTCCTTACATCTAAGGATCCCCTTTTTTGTACAACAACGTGACAATCCCCATGGCCGGATCTTGACCTAGCCCCTCTGCCTGCCAAGACTTTAAAAGGTATGCTATATATTCGCTCCCTAGGATTGGCCAATATTCAAGCCAGAATTCTCTGGTCAATCCATCTTTCCTTAGGGTCTTGTTGGGTGGCATTGACTTAAGTGCTTCCCACAACTCTTTCTGAGTGAGTGGGGCTTCTAGCATCATTGCCAGTGCACTTGGTACTGACCTTTCTAGGTGGGCTAAGAACTTTGATCTGGCACCTTCCACCTGCTGTTGCGAATGGTCCAACTCCGTAAAAGTATATAAAGTTCTATATAATTTTTCAGCCACGGCAACCATCTCCTCCAACTTTGATACCTGCCCTTCCGATGTTTGAACTCGTTCTATTACTGAGCTTTTGCCTTTTGCTCGAATTTTCTGAAAAAAGTATTTAGTCATTCTTTCTCCTTCCTCCCACTCCTTGACTCTTTCCCTCATATGTAGCCCCCTAGTCCTCCAATGCTCCCATGCTCCCAATTCCTCTCTTGTTGCATGCCAAATTCTTTCATACAAGTCTGTACCTGGATTTTTAACTACATTACTATCTGCCATGGCTACCGCGGACCCGGACACTGGACCGATCCGGACCCAGACAACCAGTCGGTCCGGATACGATCCGGATCAGCCTGGATGGTCCGGATTATCATGTCCGGAAATAACAAGCATGAATGATCATTCCTTGACATGCACTATGCTGGCACAGTCACTGCAAAGCACAAACTGCTGCAAGGGAAGAAAAAGTGAAGAAACAAAAAAAAGAACACTCCGCAGCAAACCTGAATAAAGGTAAATATTAAATGGAGTTCAAGACTTTAGCAGTTCAAAATTTAAAGTTCAAAGTTTGAAGTCCGAGGTCAAACACTCTCTCTCTCTCTCTCTCTCTCTCTCTCTCTCTCTCTCTCTCTCTCTCTCTCTCTCTCTCTCTCTCTCTCTCTCTCTCTCTCTCNTCTCTCTCTCTCTCTCTCTCTCTCTCTCTCTCTCTCTCTCTCTCTCTCTCTCTCTCTCTCTTTTGCATATGCGCACCAGTCCACAACGGTAACGAGGGCTCTCTCTCCCTCTCCCTCTGTGTGTGTGTGTTTGTGCGTGTGTGTGGCCGCGGCGGGTGGGCGAGAAAGCACTCTGAAGTGCCTAGATCCGCCCTTTCTTCCCTTTGTCACTACGGAACTGCGCTTTGCCTCCAACAGTCTGCCCAGGATGCAAATAGAAAAGGGGTCGGTCCGGCCGCCCTGTACGGCCGATACCGGCCCCAAAATTCATAGAAACATTTTTCAGGCAGCGCCCTGGACCCAAGGAACAGGTCTAGGGTGCTCCATTTTTCTTTTTAAATTTTGGGGTCTTGGCCCCTTCCGAACGGGCCTCCTACGGTCCGGCGTCCAGACACCGGACAACAGACCATCTGGACGCCTGTCCGGATGTCCGGATGGTAGCCATGCAATCTTCTATTCGCTTTGCTTGCTGAAGCTCAGCTTCCCTTGCTTTCCTTTTAGACGCTAGTTGCCTAGCCGCTGCCGCCGAAACTCTACTCATAGCGTTCAGGAGTTCTGGGAAGGATTGAATACCCGCGTCATAGTTGAGGCAAGACTGCAAAATTGTTTGTCTCATTTCATGGGTTTGAAGAATCGAATTATTTACCTTATAGAAGCCTTTACCTCTCCTGACTTGCTTATCTGTGGACAAATAGAGAAAAATAGGCTTGTGGTCCAATCTACTAAGAAAAGAAAGGTTACCTATACCCACTGAATGGATCATTCCTATAATTGTTTGTGAAATCAAGAAATAGTCTATTCTCGATGTCGAGACGTGTTGACTCCTATTCCTCTTATAGTAGGTAAATTGTCTGTCCTCCGGATAGTACAATCTGTATGGATCAATCAAATCAAAAGCGGTCATCATGTTATGAACTGGAAGTGCCTCTTCTCCTATCGTGCTTTCACCCATGCTGTGTCCCCCTAACATTCTATCCCGGGCTGGTTCCAATGCGGCATTCCAATCCCCTGCTAAAATAATATGCCTGGTGGCTTCTATTGAGGCTTCCAATTCCTCTGAAAAATGTACTCTTAGTTGGAATGTGTTGGGTCCATAGATAGATACAAGAGTGAAGCCCTCTTCCCGGAAAAGAAAGTTCAACTTCACCCATCTACCTTCTCTTCTTCTATCTTTATATTTTTCGTTGAGAGGGCCCTCCTGTTTTGAATAATCGCCACCCCCGTCGAGTGGGGGCGTGGTGCCGGCGCCCAGAAGTCAGTTGCCACCCATCTCAATCTTTGTAAAATCCTATTCTTGACTTGCTCATGTTCTTCTGAAGTGGTCAAGTGAGTTTCTTGTAAACACACGAAGTCTGGCAGACTCTGATCAAACCAACCTAAATATTGTACAAAGTTGTTCCACTTGTCCGGGTTGTCCAAAATCTGCACCAACCCATTTATATTCCAGAAGACTATTATGAATTCAGGCTCCTTCCTTGGTTGTGCCTAAACTTTTCTTCTACGCTTTCCCTACTGGCCTCCTTTGCTGTCCTGCATTGCGAATTGTCATCCTTTGTTCGCCCTTCTTTCATTGAGAAGTGTTCAAGACCCTGTCTCTGAAAGATCCAACCTTGTTGCTCCCCTTGCGATCCTCTTCTCAATGTATTCTGGCTTCCACAAAAAAGGTATGAGTTTTTACTATTACCGCTGCACTTTTGGCCACCTATTATGCCGCCACCAACCCCTCTAACAATCCGTAGGGAATGGTCTCCACCACCTGCCATGGCATCCATATCAGGCCGTCACACGACTTCGTCGTTTCCTGCAGCCTGAACATTATTGGTCTGTAATCCTTTGTCTGTAATGTGCCTGTTGTGTCCACATTGTCCTCCTTTTCATGCTTCCAGTCCCCTATCACATATGCGTGGGCTGGCAGATCTTCTGAGATCATACTCTTCCAGGGCCTGACCTGAGCAGTTGGCCTCATCTATCGTGACCAGCGCCAACGAGCGGTGGATTGCCACCTCCCACTCATTGTGGAATTCATTCCAAGGGGATGATCACCCTGCGTCTGGGTGAATTTATGGCATATAGTCTTGCTGCTGCTTCAATTTCTTTATGTGGCGCATAAGCTATCTTTTCCTAATTCGTTGTATCTTCACCCAGCTCACGATTCTGGTCAAGGACATTTATTTGAGCCCCCAGGATCACTGCTTGTCTGCGTGCGTCCTCCATTAGTTCTCCATCTCCCATTTCCTCTCATGTTGATGCAAAAGTCGCCTTTCTCTTGCTCTCGGATCTCTTCATTGCTTTTGGTAGATAAGTCTTTGGCCATTCAAACTGCTTACTGTAGACCTCGTTTCGCACCTGAATGTCATTGTTACGGTGTTCAACTTTCCACCCATATTGCTTCGCATAGAACTCATTTATCTCCTTCTCCTTTTTCAATATCTCAAAGCGATTTGTGGTAGTGATGCCCTCCATTGCTGTCGTGGCGTTCTTCAAGTCACGCAAGTGTTTATGGTGTGTCAGGCGAACCTCACATTCCACCATTCTCTCCCACTCCAATGCCCGCACGCACTTGACACACCTTTCTAGTGTCTCAGGTTCTTCCTCCTCCTCATCCTCCGCATCCTCTCATCCATCCTCGCTTGAACTCTCCTCTGAATCCTCTCCCTCCCCCCTCTTCTCCTTCTCTTTTGGGTCTCATAGCGGAAGTGGTTGATTTACCTTCGGAAAATTTTGTCTCGTTGCCTGTACCCCCCTCATCTTGGCCCGTTGCTTTTTCCATTTCTTGCTCTTTTGATGGAGTCTGCCCACTATCCTCTTGCTATGAAATCTCCATTTGTCCCCCCAACGAGCTGGAAACCTCTGTCCCGCCCTGTTTTGTCTCCATCTCCTGATCCTGCCCCCCTGCGCCTTCTGGGTATCTCTTGTGACCTTGATTCCTCTGGATTGCACCCTCTTGGTTCCCTGCTCCCTTTGCTTACTCTATTCCGACTCACTCGACTCCTCTATCCTAGTTTTCCGCTTGAGTGAGGTGGTTGTGCTGCTCTGTTTAGTTGACCCTCCCTGTCCTTCCCCACCTTCCCCATCCTCAGACCCGTTCTTCTGATCGTGGTTTTGTGTTTCACTTTGTGCTTCCTCCCATGCTTTTGAATTCTCCAAATATGTTGCTTCTACTGTCCTCCCAATCTGATTTAGCTCTTCCATTGTTCTCAATCTTTGCTTATCATCGAACAACATGGTTTCGTCAATCATCGGCTTCATCAGATAGCCCATGTCCTTATCTTCCATTATTTTGGCTCCCTTTTGCCACCATCTGCTATCATAAGGGGGGTAGATGTCAGGCTTTAGTGTTGGTGTCCCCTGCAACACCCACACCCACCTGGGGGATTCCAAGTTATTGCCGAAAATCCATCCCCTGTATTGTGCTGCATTTATGTACCATATCCCCAACTTGTTGTCTGATTCTTCCAGCATCGATTGACGCAACTGGATTGGTTTACTCCCCGCCCCCGACTGTGGACATTGCATACCCAGATACCCTCTTCCACGACATTTAAAACAGAAGGGATTAGTCTTTGTTGAGACAAAAATCGTGATCATTTGTCCATTTTTGCAAAAAATCTAAACCTCCGGAAACTTGTGTGGTGCTCCCGAACTCACCTCCAGACAGGCCACCCTTGAATCATGATTAGGCGTCAGGAAGTCCGGATTTGCCGGCCGCCAATCGATGATCGCATTGTTTGGATATTCTTCCGACAATCTCTTCTACACAACACTATGCATACCTTCCGAGAGATTGTCAAATTGGACCCAGAAATGCTCCTTCATCATTTTCTGCCTATGTTGAGAAGCTTCCGCTTGTGGGGGTCTTGGGGGTTTCCATGCCTGAATTGTAACAACCGTTCCCTGGCATTTCAGCGACCCCAAAGATAGGAGATATTGAGCATAGGAGGGGTCTACGCATACAATCATCACAACGAACTTTCCCCTCTTGTGATATGTTACTTCCGGTTCTACCCCCGGAATACTCTTCAATCCTCTTAAACGTTCCATCACCCGTCGCCTCTTCTCATTCAATGGCAGATCCCTGCTTTTACTTGCAAAATTAAACAGCACTGCGTGCCGCTCATATAGCTCATGCAATGAAGGAATGTCTTGCTCCGGATACTCCCACACATCCACTTCTTCTTCCTTACCATCCTGACTCTTATGAGTTTCCTTCGTAATCTTGATTGGCGCTGTTATTTTGGTTCTCTCAATCAAAAAGTCAATGGCCCGCTGTCCTAGTGCCCTGGGTTGACCCAAATCCCTCCCCGAAATTGAGGTGCCTTGTGAAGCCATGCTCTCTCTTGCTTCACTTGCTGCTTTGGCCGCTATCCTCTTGTCTCCCTCTGTCATTCCCTTCTGAGCTGCTTGCACATAAGAGCACGCCATTGATCCCTGCACCATGATTCCCCGCTCCTCCGCCTTCTTATTCCCCTCTTCGCGCAGACGTGTCCACCAAGTGCCCCTCTCGTTTCCTTTAGCCCCGATGAAAAACTCTTGTCATTATTTTCCGTCTCATGCTAGCTTTGTTCCCTTTGCAATGCCCTTTCCCTGATCTTGTTGCTGTTTCGTCTCTGGCACTTCTCTTCTTCGATTCTATCCTTACTAGCCCCTTTTTTGCCCTTTGCCCTCTGTTGTTGCTACCTCCACCGTTCCACTACCCTCTCTCTTCTCTTCGTCCCCCGATGGCTTGCTCTTATCCTTGCCTGCTCTACCCCTTGCTATGTCAACCTACTTTTCCACACTCCTTCCCCGATTTCGCTGACTCATTCATATCTCCCCAGTGACATGTGTGTCTCCTCACTTCACCTCCCGACACAGTCACATACACACTCCTTCCCCTGTTCCGCTGACACATTCGTCTCCCCCCGCTGACGTTTCCTTCTCCTCACTTCCCACGACCCGCAGACGTGTCTCGGCACTGTCGCATACACACTCCTTCCCTTATTCCGCTGACACATTCGTCTCCCCCTGCTGACGTTTCCTTTTCCTCACTCTTTCCCACGACCTGCAGACGTGTCCTTCTCTATTGTCCTTCTTACGACCCGCTGACTTGTCCTTCTCCTCACTCCTTCCCACGACTCGCTGACGTGCCCTTCTCCAAACTCCTCACGACCCGCTGACGTGTCCTTCTCCACACTCTTTCCTACGACCCGCTGACATGCCCGTCTCCGCCCTCCTCCCAATACAGTCGCATACGCCTCCACTCTCAGGTGCCCAAGCAATCACCCCCAACGTTGAAGCTTAGTGCCCGACTGCGCGGAACTTCCGCGCACGGGCGCAAAAACTCCGCGCTCGGGCTCAAAGCCTACACGCACAGGCGCAAAACCTCCGTGTTCGGGTGCTACGAAAATTAGTGCTCGGATGCGGGCTACCCCATCGGCGCGTCACGCTCCATTCAACTGACTGCTTTTCTAATGGCCCTGAGGATGCCAAATTCTTTGAAGTCCATCAGAAGCTTGGGGAGTGGATACAGTTGGAGACCGTCCACAACCAGCACGTTTTCACGGCCTGGGATGATCGGATCTCCACGATGGAGGCCAGGATGTCAAACATAGAGACCAGGCTAATCTTCCTCGACTTCTTTCTCAAGCATCTGACGGACGCTTTCTTCCAACACTTCCCCTCTCCTTCTACCCCCCCTCCTACTTCTCCTACCCGGCATTCTCACAAACCTACACCGGGTGGATCTACAGAGAGTTCACAACCAGGCTCTCTGAAAAGCCAATGCCCTCTTTCTCCTAAAGGAAAACCGACGCTGGTTGTTGGGAGTGGGCCCACTTGAGACCTGAGTGTCAGCGCAAGCCGATAGGAACCACGACTCCCAAAGATGACCCAGCCTGAGAAGTTCCTTTGGGAATACCTCAAAAGTGGACGTCTCAGACAAGATCGCCAAAATGAGGTCCTACCTTAAGGGTTTCACCTGTCCAGACGAGGACAAGGTGAGTATCTTGGTAGCCCTCCTTGTTGATGCAGCCTTAAAATGGGCCACTTTCAAGGCTAACAAAGTGTGAAGCAGCTAGCTGACTAGACTTTTGTTACGGGTCTAGATCCTTTGTTTCCGGGCCTGGAGGAGAGGTTCGTTAGTAATGAAAGAGCTCAGAAGGTAGCCGATGAGATAGTCGCACTAGGCCAGTCTAAATGGTAGGTGGAGGAAGGGAAAAGGTGGGACGTATTCTTTGGAGTCGGAGGGAAGACTCTGCAGGCTCTGACCAGGGAGGAATGGCTCCCTCAGCTGGTCAGGCTGCATGAGCCTCCCTAGATCCAGTTGTCTTGACCTTGGCCATTGATTGGTCCTAGTGACAAAGGAACTCCAACCCTAGGGGAACAGGCAAACACCCCAATGGACTGCAGAACTAAAATCTGCAAGGTTTGGCAAATTCCCAGCCAATCCCAAGGATCCTTCTACATTCCCCTGAAGAGATCTTGAGAATTAATGGGGGGGTGCGGCAGAAGAGGAAGGATGATGGGGTATGCCTCAGGTGCGCAGGGAAACACTTTGTCGAAGAATGTCCAACTTCGGGCAACAACAGTTTAAACAACTGAACAGGCCAGCAGAGGTGGCAGCCACCCCTGCTGAGCTGAATTCATCTAATTATGAAAATGGATAAGCCTCTGAGCCCAAGTCTAGTCCCGGTTGTAATTGACTCTTTATTTTCGTACACTTAGTCATTTTTCGATGAGCCCTTGTCAGAGGAAGAGTATGATCAGCTCTGTTCTCTTCACCGTCGATTGAAGTAGAAGAGAAACATGAGATCTGAGCTGACCTTTTTTCAAACCTCTCATCATAAGGACCCGCATAAAGGCATTGTTGGACGTGGAGCCACCCGGAACTTCTTTCTCCACTCATGGAGTCCAGAAACTCTATCTGGGACTCAAGGTCACAGATCTTGAGCATTCGCTGGAGATCCAGGTGGGCAATTCCCAATCTATTATAGTTCAGTAGGTTCTCAAAGGTGTGTCATGCAAAGGGAGAAGTCAGACTTAGTCTGAACTTCTATGTATTCCCACATTTATCCATTGACATGACGTGAGTCTAAAATAGCCCTGTAATCCAACTATCGATTGCATTACACCTGTAATCCAATTAAAGAGTTCCAAAGGGAAGCTAAGACAATGTGTCTTAGCTACAGATTACCACCCTAAGGCAACTTGTTCTTGCCTCAGGGTTAAGGAATTTTATAATTTGTCTAAACAGAATGACCATCAAAGTTTGTTTGTTGTGCACATCACCCAGACTGACACATCCACCGCTCGGTGTGATCCAGTTATATAGCAGGTCATCGATGATCATGTTGACTTGGCTCAGGACCCTATGGACTTGTCCCTAGGCAGACCAAGCACTATCTTGAGATCCTTCCAAACTCTTCCATTCCTAAAGGAAGGGTACACAGGATGTTTATTGCTCCATTGCCCCTCCTCTTCCCCTTGGGGTTCTTCTTCTTCTTCTTCTTCTTCTTCTTCTTCTTCTTCTTCTTCGATACACGTGAGAGAGAGAGAGTTGACGTTGAGACTTGGTGACATTCGGGCATTGCCCAGTTCAGTGACATTACGACTTGACATGGTATGAGCAGCGACATTGGGGATACATTGGATACTGGGTTCATCAGGCTATGGTGGCTGATCCTCCCTATTTCCCTCTCCCCCCTTTCGTCTCTTCTCCCTCTTTCTGAGTGATGATGTATGCTGTCAGGTTCTGTCATTGTCCGTGATGGGTCGGATATTGGTATCACATTCTTTCGCTGTGCTATTTTTGTATTGTCTCTGAGAGGTCGGCTCTCGGTTGTGATTGATGCCGATTAGGCATGCGACGTGCTGCCTCAGACAGGTATCGTTGTTACTGGGAAAACGCAGACCCATAACCGCTAGTTTTGTTTTAGGTCCTAGCGGTCTGGTCCAGTAGGTTAGAGCACAATTATAAATAAAGTCGGTCCAGGCTGTTAGGGGTCTTTGGTCATTTCTCTGGAGCAACTGTTTAGTGCTCATGTTAAGCCGACAGGCTGCTGGAGCAGCACTGGAGCTGGGCAGCAGCTGCTAGGGTTTCAAGGTAGCAGTGCAAGCGGCTTCATCTGCTGGGCTTGCAGGCACCATATCTGTGCTGTGGCGTTGAGCACTGTCATATATTCTTCTTCTAGGCAGCTGTTCTTCTTCTTCTTCAAGCTGGAGGTTCCTTCTTCATCCTGATGCTGCTTCTGCTTATTTTGGGAGGACTCTGACTCAGCGCTGGAGCATCTGAGTATTTGGTTTGCGCTGGTGCTGGGAGGCAAGGAAAGTACAGCACTGGTGGCCTGCAGCTTTACCTGGACTGGGAGTTCCGAGTAAGGCTGTGCGCCATAGCCGGAGGAGGTGTGGTGGACGCTGGAGGGAGGAGGAAGAGTCCAGAGGCTTGTTGAAGTTTTGTTCTGAGTTTGTTCAAGGTAGTTACTCTCCATTGTGATCCTTGTGTTCTTGGTGATTCTGATTGAGCTGGAGAGTTGGCGAGGGACTATGAATTGACATTTCTCAGTTAGTCTTGGTTGTTGGACTTCCGCTGTGCAATAATCCAATCTGGATTTGGTGTGACTCCCTCTCCAAGTCAGCTTTTTCATCATGGCATGCGTATAGGAACATCCTGGCGCTCTACTGGCTTGCATTTCCAATTGAAGTTTTGTTCTGAGTTTGTTCAAGGTGGTTTACCCTCCATTGTGATCCTTGGGTTCTTGGTGATTCTGATTGAGCTGGAGAATGGGCGAGGGACTATGAATTGACATTTCTCAGTTAATCTTGATTGTTGGACTTCCGCTGTGCAATAATCCAATCTGGTTTTGGTGTGACTCCCTCTCCAAGTCAGCTTTTTCATCATGGCATGCATATAGGAACATCCTGGTGCTCTACTGCCTTGCATTTCCAATCAGTCTCATAACATCAGCCAAAAAAATAAAGGTTGCGCTGGTGCTTCGGCAGAGCTTGGAGTGCAGGTCTTTTCAACCTCGGCAAAAAGAGGCTTGGAGGTAGTGGTGGTTCAAACTCTCCGCTATCCACATCTAAGGGGTTGACAGACTCCGTCTGGCTGCAGGTCGATCGGCTATAAACCTGAAACTCTGAACAGTATATGACCGCACTAACAACCAGATGATGTTCATCTAGGCCATGGTATGTATGTGGAGGCCGTGGAGGCTGCCTGCAGAGGATCTGATGGATGCCAGTGTGCTGATGAGTAAGTCCTTGCTGCAACCGTGCTGGGTTGGGCTGAATGTCATGACCGGTATGGCTTCAGTTTTGAACACTGGGTCAAGGTTGCAGTAGTAAAGGCATCCGCCTGTTATGGGCGAGATCACCGGGTCGACTCCGTCTGGCTGGGGGACGATCGACTATAAACCTGAAATTATGAATGACGGACTTTCAAAGCTACAATCTTGGAGGGATAAGGTGCTGGCAGAGTGTACACGCCTCCTCGTTCTGCGTCTTGTGGAATTGCAGGCTTGACTGTAATGCCGCCCCT